GCGGAGATGGTCGTGGCAAGTGTTAGCCACATTCGCTTATATATACTAATATAGAGAGAGTCGAATATTGATAGAAACAGATGCCTGTGATTAGTCATTGTTTTCAAGAAACTGATACTTCATGACACGCTTGCAACCTTATGACTTTTAAATTCACAGAAAGTGTTCAAATTAATATTAGGTTATTAAACTTATTTTTTCTTATATTAAATAGAGGAAACAAGAATGGGAAGTTCGACAGTTTACTGGTTCGTGGGTAAAATATATTTCATCTGGTGGCAAATATCGTGATGGCGATGGTATGGACATAATTTACATTGAATTGACTATTGAATGTGTGTTATGAGTATTGAAAATTGAGTGTCAAAATTGTCTTTCCTCATAGAGACTTCAAATCTGGTACACCAAATCCCCCAGCGACAACCTAAGTTGTCTCCGTCAGAGCTATCTCGCTACCTTAATGGTTGAGCTGAGATCGTGCTTAAAGACATGATTCTTAGTTATAAATACTCTTTAATGCTTTTTTCTGATATTTTCTGATTAGAAGAGGGGCCATGACATTCAAAACTTCAAAATGATACATTTTTATCCTTTAAATATGTTAAGTTATTTTATGTTTCAATTAACAGAATTTTGGACCAATCCTCAGTTTAAAATAATCAAGAGAGACATGGATCCAAGTAAAACAGTAATTATATCCTTAGCCAGATACCTTTCTGCAGATGATCTCAGAAAAAATAAGAAAGTATATATTTCGTTTGAAATATTTAAGGTTGGTTATACTATTTTCTCCTTGTAAGAAATGCTTCTATTGGTCTTCTAAGGTAGGCTTGCTACTTTGATCGTGTAAGGTATGCCTGTTACTTATATCAAGTAAGGCATGCTTGCTATACTTTGATTGTGTAAGGTATGCCTGATACTTCGAGCATGTAAGGTATGCTTGCTACTATGGTCGTGTAAGAAAGATATGATTGTTACTTTGATTTTGTAAGATATACTACATTTGTCTATTAATAAGATATGTTTGTTTCTATGACGTATGAAGCATGCATCTTTGTGTTCTTTATTGATCTCGCCTTGTTAAATATACTATACTAATTCTATTACGATTGCTATCTTGTTTGTTGTTTAATTTATATCTCATATGCTATCTACTTAGGTCTTTTATGATGTACTGTAACATTTTAAAAGATATTCTATTTTGGTCATATGATATAAAGCTGGTTTGTTCTTGTTAGGTTCTCAAACTTGAATGTTGATTATTATTATTTACAAGCCCCCCACCCCCCTTTTAACACATTTTAATTAAAGGGATTGTAAAGAAATTTTCTAAAAAATGTGTATCGAGGACACTGATAGCTTCAATTTGCACCATTCCAATTGTCATCATTCCAATTTCATTCCGACGTCTGTGGTTCTTGCAATTCCACCAAAGATAACGCGTTTTATGACGTCACTAGAGGGGAGCTAGAAGCTACTTATAACATCTATGCAGTTCCCCTCTAGTGAAATCATAGAACGCGTTAGTTTTACTGGAATTGCAATAACCACAAATGACGGAATGGGTGCAACTTGATGCTATCAGTGTCTCCGATACACATAAAGAGTTTTGAAAACCTCTTTACAATCCCTTTATATTATGTTTTAGTTGAAAGATGGTGTTGATGTTGACCGACTATATGACGAACGAAACGCTATCTGGATTAGAACCTTTAACGTGTATATCACACCGATGCGTGACATGGTGTTCAGATTTGAACTGGAGGCAGGGACATATTTTGTCATTCCATTTACTCGTGACAAGGGGATGGAGGCGAACTTTATCCTCAGAATATTTACAGAAAAAACAGTGAATGTAGTGTAAGTAAAAGCCAGATGCATTCTATACACTCGTTGTAATATCTTTTTTGAAAAGATGATCTACTGAGGTAAAAAGAAGAATCGCCATCAAAAACAAAATTTAAGTAGGCCTATGAAAGTTTATGATATTAAACGGAAATTATGTCTGATCTTGTATGCTTTCTTGAATCAGGACACGAATCGAATATAGATGGTGTTGATGATCGGAATTGATCAAGGTTTTTAATCAGATGTAACCTAATAATAGTATGTTTGGTAGATTCAATCCACACCAACAAATTTAAAGCTATTCAAATAAAAGAGAAAAATATAAATTGTATTTGGTTTCAGATCTGTTGATGAAGACACAGGACCAATTGAAGTATGTATATCTTTATCTTAATGATTAATTCAACATTCTGAAAGATACTAGCTAAGTCATCGCTATCGTCATCGTAAAAGATTCATATTTTGCAAATGCAAACAGCAACTGTTAAAATCGTACAAAAGCAGCAAAACGGTCTGTACCCTCTATGATCAACTGCACATTGAGTGAGGGTATTTGAAAAATCTGATGTTTTCTTCAGTTGCCTGAACAGCCGTCTGAACCACACTTTATTGAAGAATTATTCGAGAAGTATTCAGATGAAGAAACACGTTCAGTAAATGCTTTTGGGTTGCAGCAAATCATCAGTGAAGCTAAGAAGAGAGGTATGAATTCAAATAATTTGTTTGCTGCGAATCTAAAAGAGATTCGATATCTTAAGTTGTTTTGTTATACCAATTATCTGTGGTTATTTTTATAATAAATGGATACCTGAATGTTGTTACCTGATTCGTTGTTTGTACAGAAACAAATATATACATGATCCATATTATTATGTTACAAATACTTCATTGATACGTGAAGGGGTGTTTTGAAATAATTTTTAATGATGATACATGCACATGTATTTCTTTTTCAGAGTATAATGGTGAAGATGGATTTACACTGGAGACCAGTAGATGTCTAATAGCCTTATATTTCGCTGTATCCTTCAAAATTTACAGTTCGTTTAATTTGACCTTCAATTGCCACATCTCGAACGAATGACTGAGACAATTTAAATTTAAGGACCCGATGAAAAATAATAATGTTTGTTATACCTTGATAAACTTGAATACAATCTTATTTTATGATAATATTTACCAACCAAACCTCGCATGAAAAATAAAATTCTATGTTGGGGTAACCACTAATATCATAATTTGAAGAAAATGACTTATATGTCATTGTATAAATGTAACTTTCTTAACATGCTCTACAGTCCCACCCAGGCAAAACTGAAGTTGGCAAACATGCGACAGAAAGAATCTGGAAATTTATACACGATTTAAAGGTAAATGTGCGGTATGCAGTATAAAGCTCAGAGGCCGAACCAAACGGATCAGCAGATATTTATGAAAGGAATTATAATTAAAGATGGGTTCCCTTATTTTCATTGATAAAAGTGAAGATGCACTACTTGTATGAATAGAAAGTAGAGGTATTCTATTGACTTTGAAAAATACCATTTGACTTTAAAAAATACCAGTTTGTCCCACATGTCCATAATTTATTCATAATTAGCTACATTAGAAGAGAATAACAGCAGAATTCCGATGAGTGACTGATCAATAAAGGTCAAAAAGTCTTGTTAATCCAGACTGTACGTACATGAGCATTTATGATTGGTTAAAGATATCATTAACATGATAATTCATTAAGAACGTCAATTTGTCAAATAATTTGACACTAAAAAGATAAGGAAACCCATCTTTAATGTATAGATTCCCTATACTTTTCCATACGTGAAAAGAGTGATATTTTTTGAAGCCTATTAGATGAAGTGATTCTTTTTGTTGTGAAATCGTCCTTCAATACACATACAAAAATGACAGGAAAAGTTATTTTTCATATAAACATTATCAATTATTTATTTATATTTATATATATGTGTTGTAGGTTACATTATTAGATTTTGAGATAGTTAACGCTTCTAGAAAGGTGAAACTATCTGATTTAAGGTTTCTGTATAAAAAACTAAGTAAGTACTTACTAAATTGTTATATTCGTAATTTTATATCAAGTGACTGATTGGTGTACCCTAATAGTGTTTTTCTAGTGTGTAGTTGGTAGTCCTATGTCTCGAACAACTATGGCGACAGCAGGAATCATGGAGGTCCGATGGCGGATGAGCAATCTCAATTTCTTTTTTTCCATTATACTTTTACCTAAGTTAGAGCATGAAAGCTTTAATTGATCTCTCTTGCAATAGTAATTTCATTAAAATACACAAGTTATTTTGCTTCATTACGTAGATTTCAACATGAGTGTTAAATTACTAGCAGCAATCAGTAAAAGATATGGAACCTCAGATGGTTTAATATCAGAAGAAGATTTTATACAGAGTTGTGCTAAAGTTATTTCACTATATAGTAGGTTATCCGTTATCTTACGTCAATATATACGAAACTAACGGTTTATTGGATTAGATTTGAAGACATAATTTGGATTTCTGCTATTAGAAAATCTGATTTTCATAAGTATATTCCCCTTTTACTTTTTATCAATTACTATGAAAATAAGACCAGCAACATATTAGCAACTATTAGCATGATTAGATGGAACATTTTTAATATCTTATGACAATGTAGATCTGGATGATTCTTCAAGTATATTTACCACCGTATCTACAAATAAATTGAAACCAACAGAAATTTTGCAAAATGAAATAATCCGGTTCATTTATCATGTATATATTTTACTCGACCTTTTAATGCCAATGCCGGATTTCATAAACGATTTTCTATGATCTTCTTCAGATTCCAATATATTCATATAATTTCAGAGAACTTCAATAAAATTGTAAATACAGGAAATGACGACGTGTCTAAGGTAAGGATGGTTATTTATCAAGTTTGTCACGCTTATCAATTGCGTTTATGTACCAAGAATTAATTCTTAAATATTTATATTAAAATTGAAATAAAGAATGGCAATTTGAGCTACCGGTAAACAGGACTCTTTTATAAAAATATTGGAAAAGGAACTAAATGAAATTCCTAAAACAAGGATTAAAACTGCATAACGATATTCTCGTCACCCAACTATTTTTTTTATTTTAAACAAAATAGTGGTTCTACCATTAGACATACGTATATTGCATTTATTTTTCAGTTAATAGTGGCTGCAATGAATGCCTAATCAGAATTAGGACAATCAACAATTAGAATTCCTTATAGTTGTCTTAATATATACTAAACCACAGCCGGGGATCAATTTGATCAATCAGTAGCACTTTTCAGATTGAAAATATGGTTTCTCTACAAATTAACATAACGACTTTTCGTCATTAAAGAATATATTTTTAAATATTATTTACATTTTTAATAAATCGCTAATTTGAACATCACAGTCCTGCTGTACTTTTTCAACTGTAAATGGTATTTCTGAAAAACCAAAATATATTACGTATTGTTAGCATATTATTTTTTTTATACTTAACCTCAAATACGTTATAAACATTTCTTAGCTACTATTATAGTGTTAAATGCAATGCGCTATGAAGGGACGAAAAGAGCCATTTTGTTACCTGTTACTTTGAAAGAGTGTTTTTTCTCAATTTCTTCTCAAAAGTAAGATATATAAAATCAGCAACCCATAACATTTGCAATGTAACCTGGCGTCACCTAGGGCTAAATGGATTGTTCGCTGTCATTAAGCTATATAGTGCAGCTTTTGTATCTTTAAACAATAAAATTGTAGTTTTTCATACAGAAATGCATTCCATTTGAATTCCACCATTATTGACATTGTAGAAAAAAACCTTCGTGTAGTTTACTTGTTTATACCTACCTGATTTAGAAAACACGTTTACGTCCTTTTCCTTAGTAAAATGGTGTATTGCCTGTTTGATAGCAAATAATGCTCCTGTTGATAGCAGTATTGGTGGCTCTCCAACAGCTGAAATTATTATTCAAAACGATTTCTAAACAAAATGTATACAAAAATTGATTTCTATGGATTGGTCTGTCAGACCCGTCGAATTCAGATAACATTCTAGAGAGCAAAATGTAACAGTCAGATAAACCTTGCTTCTCTGTTTGGACGCATAATTAGGTTTCAGCAGAACAACACGAAACCACGGAGGTCTAACAGCAGGGCAATCCATGTCATTATATATTATTATACAAATCGTCTTATGCTGAATCGCAACCTTGTCGGTCCGATTTCTTTATTTTTGGGATAAAGTGTAGAATGTGGAAATACGTTAGTACAGTCGACTAATTAGTATTTCTGTAAGGTTATTGATACCTTTAGAACCTTTTATACCATCTGGATTAGGTGAATCTGGTAAGAGATGTATTCTCCAATCAATAGGTATATCTTTACTTGTAGGTGGATTGTAATCCTACAAAGTATTTCAGATTAAACTTAATAATATATGAATATGTGTACTGTTATTAAAACAACTTCAAGAAAGTATGAACATCAAATGCTAACAACATTAATTGGTCGTTCCTAATGTAAATTCTGAACCTTATTTCGTAGATTTCTTTGAATCCAAGTATTGAAATATGAAATTCAGACTAATGAGCTCATAGCTTCATATCCACGAAAATTCTATAGAATTTTATCATAACTGCTTATATGTAATATAGAAACCAATGATCTCTATGATAAAAAGACCATAGGTGTTGGAATAAAAGCTCATCCGAACAACCGTACCACCCAAGGAAACGAAATAAAATATGCTAATTATTACGCCGTATTTAACTTCCAGTTGGTCGGTTGGGATTAAGTACAAACCCAGGTAAAAGGGGCGCCGTGGATACCGCGTCAGCTATGATGAAAATCTTAATTATTTACAAACTAACCCATGTTCCATTATTCAATACTTTCCCAGATTCTGGATCATACACGATATCTTCTAGTAAAACAGCCCCTAATCCCATCACATACGCTCCTTCAATTTGACCTATGTCTATCAATGGGTTTAAACTGCAAAAAAAAATTAGATGAAACCAACTGTTGACGATATCCAACATTTTTTCTAAAATGCAACATGGTGACACTTGAATTGTTCTCTTTATGTAGCCGCTTTTTTGAACAACAGATAGTGTCATTGGAGTGTCTCAGAAAGCAAGTGAGGCAAGTGTTGCAGTATCTCACTTCGCAATCGAAATAGTGTCGCAGTTGGAAATTTAGGAACAGTGTCGTCCATTTTAATCAAATATTGTTCAAATGAGTTTTTGTCCCTCAAGTACTTTCGACAGTTACCAGAAAACATATTAGAGTAGCAGACCTTCAAGTAAAAGAGCCCATTTTCAGATCCGAATGTCACAATGCACATTCTATGATCAAAATTATTAGTTCCATGACATAATAAGGTTATGTCCGAGGCATTATAGCACAATGAATCACTAAAGACTTTACCTATCGCCACAGTCCACCATCATATCTACTCTTGTAATTTGATTTTCTCCCGTTAACAAATCCACTTCTACTTCTGTGACACCGACGGCATAGGTCGAGTACTTAAACTCTTTATCTTCGTCTTTCGAACCATAATACCTATATCAAAATTATACAATAGATCTATAATTCACAAAATCTAGATTACTTCAGATCCATCTGAAAGAAATGCAGTTCCAAACGTTTACAGAAATAATGCAGAACGAAACATTTGGAAGATGTATTGTTTGTTTTTTTTTTGTCTGTAGAGGACATATAAACCACATTAAAAAAAACTAACAAAACTTCTGAATCAGATAATCAGATTAAAACGTGTTTTATGACAATATAGAATTAATTATTAAAAGGTCTAAACCGTCTTTCGTGTTTTTCATCTGAATATACATGTGTTTTTTTTAATATACATACGTGTGTTCTTTAATATACAAATTATACATACGTGTATTTTATAACATATACATACGTGTGTTTTTTTTATATACATACATATGTTTTTTTAAAAAACATACTTTTTTTTAATATATACAAATTATACATACGTGTATTTTATAACATATACATACGTGTGTTTTGCTGTGAGTTCAATAGAATTCATATTACATTGTGATACGAGTTTCCTCCAATCCAGCTCTGGTTTCTTTATTCTCATTGGTTCCATCCTTTCATTTAATATCTTAGAACATTCTATTGCTGCCTAAGAAATATATGTACATAAAATATCACATTACAGCTCCATTTGCATATTTTGCTTAAGAGCAGCAACTGGGTCTGGTCAGTCTGACATATTCCACGATTAAATTTCATTATGTCGATTGTTTTTTTGCTCTGGCCTACTTTTGATATAGTTGAATTCTATACGAATCTTCATTTAGCTTCTTGAAATCCTATTTTTCTGCACCGTCTATTTAGAACTAATGAAGAAAAGTAAAAGTGTACAAAAACTTTGATCTTATGCAAAGCAGAGATTTTCATCTATTCAACTTACCTGAACACACAATTCACTACCAACACTATTAGCTGTAGGTCGATTATTAGGTGATGTGAAAGTATTAGTTGGACGAGTTTGAATCAAACTAATAGAAATTCCTAAAGTCGCTGCTACTGCCTGAACAACCTTTCAAAAGAAAAATAATTTACGAATTAGAACAATGTATATAACACATATTGAATGGTTTATGTATTTATTTTTATTATTATTATTATTTGGTGCAAGTCCATTCAGCGAAGTTAAATTCTGGACAAAGAAGCTTAAGTGTGACTTTTTGATATGCCTTAGAAGCCTTTTAACAATCTGATTGGTTACTTCAAACAATATGTAGATGCTACTTATCATGGATGTTCACTGGAGTTTCAATTGAGAAATAATCAGCTATGCTGATCACCATTTTCACAATGGTCAAAGTATTAAGTCTTCTTCTTATACCTTGACTGCAATGGCCCAAATTTCTTGTTTCACGGTTGTACTCTAGCCAATACAGCCAATCAGAGCCAAAGAAAAAATAAATTGCGCATGAATTCGAGGGCTCTCACTGGCTGTATTCATGAAACAAGAAAGTGAGCCATTGCAGTCAAGATACAAGATGAAGACTTTTACCATTGTGAAGATAAGTGATCATAGGTAATGATAATAAAATAAATCTTACCTTGGTATACAATCCCTGACCCATGTCAACACCACCTTGACTAACTGTTACTGTACCGTCAGATGAATATATAGAGATCTCACAAGAAAATCGAAAGAAACTTGGGTTCAAACCATATTTTACTGGAGTCATTGTGATGCCTTTCTTCTTCCACTCATTATTCTAAAATAATAATTTGCAAGAAAATTTGTGTATACTCTATCCTCTAAACTGAACAAAGTATTTGTATTTTGTATACGCAATAATACTGAAGAAAGACAATATATAGGCGATGATGCACCGTTACATGCTGCTAGTAAAATGCTACCAATAATAAAACAAGTTTTAAAAACTGGTGTATTTCGGTATGAACGTGTAATGAAATGAAACCTTGAGACTTACTTTATTAAAAGTGGTTATCATGTCTTGACGTTTCTGAACATCAGCCAACTCTTTTATGACTGTCCACAGTTTGGGTAATGTACAGTTGACCAGTGTTTCACCATTCAAATCAATCTAAAATAACATAAAGGGTTGATGAAAATAATTGAACCCGATCATAACTAAAAATAAGAATAAACGGATCAAGCGTTTATCAACACCAATCGTAATATTTTAAGTAGATAATTGATACCTTTCCGTTGGTGTATAAATTTAATTCTTTGACAGTGATAGGGTCTGTATTTACCACACTTGCAACATGTTCTACTATAGATTCTATTATAAATGCTGCAGGAAATGAACCTGTAACAAAAGAAAGATATTGTTCGAATTACAAACATAAATCGACATAAGTCACTTGAAGGTTTGATAAAATAAGGTCCTCGTGCTTCAGCGACATGACCCGGTATGAAGTACAACCCAAAGCAATACAACCAACATACCATTTGTATTCAGAATCTGTGACGATATACCAATGAATCGAGATCAAGTCAATGGGAAATCCTCACGTGTGTTGGATTTCGGGGAAGCGAAGAGCGATTCTAACAGAGTATAGCTAGGTCTCATTTGTTCAGAAAGTCATGATACTTACCGGGACTACGACATGCTGCATTAGGTGGTTTGTTTGTATTAACTAAATGTACCCGTATTAACCAATTATCTATATCATATCCTGAAATAATTTACAATTAACGTATCATCATCATTATGAGTTATATTTATTCCATTCATGATTTTTAACTATTTTTCCAATGCAGTAAAAACAGTGGCAGTCTAAAATACTCCAGATAATTCATGAAATGGTCTTAAGAAACTTATTAAAACTAAAAATCGGTTGATTGAAACCAACGTCTGACTTGATTTCAAATTAATATTTGCCTAATATGGCCATTGTCAAAATTGGACGAATGGTAACCTTGGTCAATTTTCTTGTTGATTTCTAAAGCGAAAACAGCACAATACGATTTCCATCCCATATCACAGTAAACATCCAATATGACAACATTAATTTTACCATATTCATCATGACCAACCTAGAAAAAATACATCCACATTATGAAACATTATGTAATCATTGAAAGTTTTAATCTACAAACTTAGTGGCATGAAACTGGACGTTACATACAGAAAAGTTCAAAACGTGCCGTCAAATATTGAGAGGATTCGTTTTGTGATTTGCTGCACGGGTTCACATTACTACTAGTAGCACATTCCGATTTCCAAAAAAGATTATTTGGATTGATTATTATATTCATGCATCAAAAATAATGATTTAGGATTAGAGCAATATTCTCATATAGGTTTAATGGATATTACTTCCTCAATTAAAACTTAATACCTCATACTTAGCTAAAACCGGAAAACGTTTCCCTGTCGATTCAAAGCTGTCCTCCATTTTAATCTGTAACCGTATTGGTCTGTAAACACAAAGATTTTTAAACACGACACTCCATTATATTACATATACATTTGGAATTATAATAGTAGCAATTGGCATTGATTCCACATTTCCACTGATTTAACAATCTTCTGCCCACGATTGCGATTAAAAATTTCAAGATAATGGCAGTAAATGAACATTATGATATCCTACATTTTAATATGGAATTCATAATTGTTTGACGTTATATCCGGTGCTTACCTTTTGGTTTTGAATGCAGCTAATGCACCAGCCATGTGTAAATGTGAGG